TAAGCTTCTTTTTTTTTTTTTTCCTTCATTTCACTCGTCATAAATAACTTGTGCTCTTTCGTTTAAAAGAAAAACACGCCTGAGCATACTTTACTTCATCTGCAATATTATAATGATGAGTATCATCATCGTCGTCATCCTTAGATAGAAAATAGAAAATGAGAGGGGAAAAAAAAAAATAAAAATAAAAATAAAAAAATAAATAAATAAAAATGAAGAAATTATAATTGAATTTATTGTTATGCAATTTTCAATATATCAGATGCATGTTCTTTCAATTGCATTATTCTTGTCACAATTTATTACAAGAATGGTAGAAGTTCTTAGAAAACCGCCTTCAAAACCAAATGAAAAATTAACAATACATATATAAGTATGAGTAATGTGTGAGTAATATGGATGATATAATTGTTATTTACGCTAAATGTTTTTAAAAAATTTCCTCAACGGAACGGTTTCATTGAAAATGTGTTTCAGTTTCTTTTTTCATCGATTATAAAAATGAATCAGTGAACGTAATCTAGGAACCTAGAACCGAAATTATCGAATCAAATCAAATAGGAGGTAATGGCATCATACAGTAACTGTTGCAATAATTCGAATATAGAAAAAAAGAGTTTTATGAGAAGTTATTGTTTGTTGCGCACAGCTGCCAAGTTGTGTCGTATAGTTGTTCAACGTGTAATTGCCAGTTTAGGAAAAGCATGACATTATGTTTTGTAATATTATTATTATTATTATTATTATTATTATTATTATTATTATTATTATTATCATAATTACTATTATTATTATTTTTAGTATTTTCATAGTTGCGTTATATGGTATAATATATTATTGTCAATAATACTTTATTCATTATAGTTATATGTAATATATTAGTTTAATGAGACAAGAAATTTCCAATTCTATTTTAATATATCATATTAACCTTCATATAATATATTTGTATTCCGTCAATCATTAGAAGTAAGCAGTAAATTTTAAATAAACAAAGTATATATTATCGGAATGTTTCGTATTCGGCTTGCGTTTCCCTATCTGTGCCTTTGACTTGGTAAAAACTACTTTTGCGTACACTCTTCCATATACTTTGAACATATTTTATCGGACATATATAAATTTCCATAAAACATTATATGGCGATAAGCCATAAAAAAAAATCAAGAAAAATGAAAAGAAGGAATGATTAAGATTTTCATTAACCATTAGTTTAATGATATTGTCTCGAACGCAGCAAGACATTGGATTGAAAACAAACCGATTTTCGAGGAAATGAAAACACATGCCAAACACAAATTGCAGATTCATGATGCTTTGTCCTGTCGACGTCGTACAGTACGGTAATCTTACGAAGCTGGCGATTGCCAATTTGCGGAAAAAAAGCATTAACACGAAAATGTCACAATGGAATTTGGAGTTGATTGTTTTCATTTGAAGGCACGTTAAAGATAAGGATAAGTAGAGTATTTTCGGACGGCAAGGACGGCCGAAAAATATTCGATAGTTGTTTGCATTAATTGAGTTTTATGTATTAATGGAAAGTTAAACAAGCTGTAGAGGACTCTTCATTAAGCGCACTTCCATATCCGTTGTGGTTTTTACTAAACTAATTCTTGCACCTGCGTTTGACACTTAACTTTTCTAATTTGTTGTTTGATGCATATGCAACAAATTGAGTCCTAGAATCCGAATATGTGTGTGCTTCGAGCTAGCATCATCGGTATTGCCAAATAGTTTCTTGAATCGTTTCGAAAGTTATTCGTTTTTTCTGACATGGTTCCTGCTGCGTTCCGTATTGCAATGATTGAAATGATGTGAAGTGTTGACGTCGTTTCAGAGATGGCACTTTCAAACAATAACGTTAATTTATTATATTATATATATATATATATATATATATATATAAACTTAGTTTTTAATAAATTCTGTTATCTCATTTATACAAATGAAATTACAGGGCGCAAGAATGATAGCATGATAAGGAATTCAATGAAAATAAAACATCGCGTATACATGGGACGTTAACTATGAGTATATTAGTAAACCAAACGGAAACATTTTTGCACTGAACATGCATTTGGGCTAATTGTATGTCAAATTGGCGGATTCCGTAAGAAAAACGGAAAATAATAAAAACGAAATTTCGTCAAATTGACGGTTTCCGGAAATCTAGTGTTAAAAAACACTCTCACAGTCTGTCAAAAGTTCAAAAACAAAATACTTGCCAACTTGAAGGCGACTGGAAATATTCTGGTTTTATCTTCGAATTATATTCGTGTCCACGCAATTGTCTTCACGGTGGCTGGTCGTTTGACCTATATAGAAAATGATTGTACGTGTACATATACGCGTATACGCATTTGCAGCTATTCGATCAAGGAAAGTTTGAATCAAGTAACGGTCTTGTTGAATAGCTGTTTCGACTTTTTTTTTTTTTTTTTTTTTTTTTTTTTTGTAAGAGTTTTCAAGTAAGCTTCAGATCAAACCGAAAAATAGGGAAAATTGGTAAACAAGTTCCTGCCTCCTACTCGAAGAGCTAAACGATGTTAACGCTTAATTAATTTTGGATTAGCATGACTTGGGGACATATGTCGTTGAGACTTACATTGTTAACGAACCCAACTATACAGACTTGAAACTCAATTTCCTGATGATGGGTTCCTGGTTAGCAAGGAAATGATGGTCAAAAAGGTTACAGCTACTAGGTTGCGAAATAAAGACGCTATTCTGTGTATTGACGTGGTAAAGACGTAAAGCAATTAACGTAGAGGAAAGGCTTTAATAGTTTTGGTATAAATAAACTTTAGGAAAAAAACACTATCTGTATACGGTATTTGATTGCATATTGAAGATAGAATTCATTTATTTCATATATACTGATACGTTACCTATGTTTCTATGCAGTTTTGCTGTATTTTATGTTTATATACTGAAAATTGGAAAAATGTGGCGATCGAATATCAAATTCCGAGTGAATTTTGCAAGTTTTCTCTTTGTTATTATTATTGTTGGACTTATTATTATTATTATTATTATTATTAATTTCGCCAGAGAAATAAATTGTAAGACTAAACTCTTAAAAAAGCACTAGCATCTAAGGCTATCGGGTTTTATTATTAAAAACGGCGAGATTCCTCGCCTTCGGCTACTCAGGCGGTTATTGTTGAACTTAACTTTACAATTGTAAGACCAATTCCTTCACTATTAATGCCGACATACATATATTTACAATAATATATATTTTTAAAAAAAATTATCAATTCTTTTTATTAGCGTATTTAATGGGCACAGATGGGATAACCGTACGTATAAGTGATTTACTTATCGTTAACTCATAACTCATACTTAACGGAACATTGAAGCTAATCGCATAAGTAGTTACCTCCGCATATGTATGCTCGAATTAAATTTTATTTGATTGTTTTCATAATAAATATTAATATGTGCAGAGCTCTTATGATAAACAGTTGAAGAAATAATTAAATAATACATTCTGTTAAGAGTGATTCATTTAAAAATACACGCACACAAATGCAAGCAAATGAAAATTGTGCACACTTACTTAACAATTGTTGCTATCTAACTTTATATAGTTAGATGTAACTTGTGCAAAATTACTATAGTAATTCGCATTGATAGCATATGATGTAACTATGCATTTGGCTGTTAGCTAATATGAAGTTTCATTCAAATAATTTCCGGAACCAAAATGATGACAATATAGAGAGATGAATACAAATAGAAGGTGAGAAGCAGATAGCGAAACCAAAAAAGGAAAGAGAGGAGATAAAATGAAGAGACGAGGAAAAAATGAAAGAAGGAAAAGTGGCGTTGTAATCTGTTGTAATAATTATGCATGCATTTATAGGCAGATAGATAACGGCAATCGTGTTAACGTAGTTTATGTGATTGTTAATATACTTGTTTTTGCGCGAATTATTTATTTCAAAATTCAGCCAAAGTGCCGACATATGTGTCCCACGTACAACGGCAATAACAATGCTGAATGAACACTAAGAATAGGAAACAACAGCAACAACAACAACAACAACAACAACAATTGTAGACTGCCTAAGCGCCGTAAGCCGAGAGATTCAGATATCGAACTGAGAGCACAGTTTAATATCTATTTAATACATCAGACAATGAACATATGTTTGTAGATAGACGCGTGCAATAGTTAAAACAAGTGTTGTTGCCTGAAACGCCCTTATTCCGGTAAATGTTCAAATATCATCAGCAGATTGCCACTTTCTTTGGGTTTTGCTCATCTTTTTTCATTTTTGTTTCCTTTTTTTTCTTTTTTTTTTCTCTTTTCTTCTACAACATTTTTGAATGCAATATGGTGAACGTAACATGTCTTTTTTTTTATTTTTTTGTTTTTTTTTTTTTTGAAAACGTATTCGAGATCCCAACGAAACGGCTGTTATTGCTATCTATCGATGCGATGTTATTACTGCTGCCGTTGCCTTGGTACGTGAATGGCTGTTTAGCATAGTTGATAGTCGTTTGGCGCATTTGCCTAAAGTTGAAATATATTTAACTGTCGTTTTAAATTCAGCATCGCAAAATGATTTTATATTGTCGGGGCACAACCCTCTCTCTTGTCCATAGTTATTGCAGCGCATAATGTTTCGCTGTTAATTTATGTGAATTACAAAACTGTTGGCCCAGTATTCAACTATTGAAATTTTTCATTCAAGTCACACTTACAAAATTTCATATACTCCTTTTGTTATCATTGCAATAATTTTCCCTTCTACAAGTTAGTTTGTGTCCTTCTTTATTATTGGAAAATTTATTTAAAAGAAAAAGAAAAAAAAAAAAAAAAAAAAAAAAAAAAAAAAAGGAAAATAAGGCGAAATAAAAGAGAAAAAAAAAACAAATGAAATTTTTTTTTTAATATTCCTAACTTGTATAGATTTTGCAATTGTAACGAATTCCTTTTCTTATCTGCCTTTTTTTATTCTTATGCGTCATTTTTTCTTTTATTGCAGTTCTACATAATTAACTTTCAGTTTTGTGTTCCAATTACTGTGTTCACCGTCTTCCACTTTGAGAAATGAATATACAGACTGCCCCATTTTTGGGTCCTACTCAACCACCTTTTCGTTTTAACGGTCCCCATACTTTAACCATGTCGCATGCAACAGCCATGCATCAGCAACCATCCTGGTTTGCTGCTGGTGCCAACAATGGTGGTACAACTGTAGGTGGAAGCGTTTCTTTGGGTGGCGGTAGCGCAGGCGGCGGCGGTGGTGGTAGCAATGCTGGCGGGGGCGGCGGTGGTGGTGGCGGCAGCGGTGCTGTTACCGGTGGTGTTGGATTTATACCCAACACAAATGCAATTACAACTACACCGATTAAAGGCAAGGTAAGTTCGAAAAATGCATTATTTTTATTATTTAATTATATTGAAAAGGCATGAGATGCAACTCTTTCAGTCATTATTTAAACAAACTTTATTGTATTCGTTTTAAGCATTTAAGCATAGATGATAAATAAGAGATCAAAAAGTTTATTTCGAATTTTAGATATATTCTCTCGCTACATATTTAGAACATACATGCGAATGTCGAACAAGAAAGCAAACCACCGATTAACATCATTTTCACTATGATCTGATAAATGTTTTCTTTAAATTCTCTTCTATTAATTACTTTGACAACTTTGATAAGCAAGCTTTTGATTAAAAAAAAAAAAAAAAAAAAACACATTGAACCTTTTAGTTACTGTAGTAAAACTGACATTTTCCACGAAAATGAGTTGCATTTGTGCTATGAAGGGGTTGGGGAGGGAGGGGATGTTTATGTTATTATTTCGAATGATTACATTTTTAAAAATTTCCGTAGATGGGCAGGCGGACTACAAGAATTTTACGCTAATCAGAGTTTTATATACCTTATGGAAAGATGCTTGAACTTGAATGTTTCCATTTCTTTCCGTTGAGTAAAATAACAGTTTGGCCAAACAAAGTTGAATACGATTGGAAGAGAAAGGGGAAGAAACAGAACATTATCAAACAATCTTAAATAATATTATTTTCAATATTTGCACATAAGACGAAATTCACCTGTCGGGTTGCTTGTGCTTATAGTGGCAGTGAAAGTACATTATTTACTAAAAAATTTTATTGCATTGTAGAAGGTGTTTCAATATGTATTTATATGGGGTGTTCCAAAAAAAAAAAAAGAAAAAAGACAAGTTTGGTCTTGCTTCCTGAGAAATAAGGCATTAACTGTGAAAAATTCCCCGAAATTGCGGTATGATAGCGCAGTTCTTTCTGCCTAAATTGGATGATATTGATGTGAACGATATATGGTTTCAACGAGATGCCGCCACATGCCAATTTAATTACATCACAAAACATTCCCGTTGCCTGTATTCTCAGGATTCAGGGATCAGAACCTCCATAAAAGAGCAAAGGACAAGCAAAGTCGTAGAAGCTGCTTGTCCAAATATAACCCTATCCTATGTACTTTATGATCCAATAAAAGAATTACAATTAAAAAGAAACTAACTCTGTTTTGTAATTAATTGAAATCTTGCGTAAATTTTGGGACACCCGATATAATGCATCTACGGAAATACAATGTTACTGTTCAAAATTTTCCAAGTATTTTCCAAAATTTTTTAACGCTTCGAACAGCCTTTGAACTATTCTTTTAATATTTCATATGCATTAGAAATTATAGCGCCATAGCAGAGCAGTAAATGTTTGATGAACGTAAAGCTTGATCCCAACACAGTTGTTTAGCGCAAAAAAAAAAATTATCAGAATTACAAAAAAAAGGAAAAACCTAATCATATGTTGAAAGATGATTTAGGCACTGAAAATGGGTCAAATTTGACTCTACGAAAAGGAAAAAAAAAGCAGCTTTTAAACCATGTGTGTGTTTGCCTCATGATGATGACAATTGAAACGTTTTTATAGGATTTTTTTATTTTTAATTATATATATATCTATCTAATTATATAGATTCGATCTTTAACTTGATTGATTTGTAATCGTATATATATTATTAAGTCCTACCTAATCCCGCCCATACGGTTATTAATATATTATTAAAATATTTGCAATTGTTTAATTAAAAATGTATGTAACCTGTGGCAGTTCCGCATTACTTCATATTAAAAATTAGGGCAACAATAATTACAAACAATGAAATCATGCTACATAGAATTTCGGCTCTTCCCTCCATATATAATCTATATATACATATATATTTTAATGAAGTATTAAATTTTTCAAGTAAATATAGTAGAAAAGGTAGAAAAAAATTAATAAATAAATAATCGACTTACGTATTAATGTAAAATAATTACTAGGTTTTTTGAACATATATATATATATATATATTCACAGTCATGTTGATGCTAACAGTATATATAATATTTATAAAAATCATGCAACACAATATACGGGTGAAAATATTGTATCGAAATGGTTGACTGGTAGATATACTCTCCACTTGAAGTGGGGCACGAAAGTGAAGGACGAGAAAGCATATATATGGCTTTGTAAATATTTAGTCTTTAATCAAGTTCAGAAATAGGATACGAACTCTAACTAATATTACGCTGTGTTCGATAACATTACGAATATCTGCGCCTCCGAATTAAATGAAAACTGAGATACGCTATCGTCTATTGGGCCGAGCCTTGAAAGAAAAAAACGGAAAAGGGTTTAGTAAGGTTTCGTTTTTTCAAACGTTCCTAGAATCATTGAACTCGAACGTAATGCCTGCGCTGATGCTGCTTTGTCCTTCTGATTGATTATTACTCGTTTCATTCGATAACTAGTGGCCTCTTTGAGCAACGCCTCAATTCTTGTCACGATAAAAACAGGAAATTCCTTCAGCGATAGACCCGAATCATAAGTTGCTCTATCGGCACGGAAGTCATAGGCGGAATGAAAATAATTGCGGAAAACATGTGAGAAACGATTGAGAAAATTTCGAATAAAATCATTTGCACTACGTTCGTTTTTTTTGTTTTTTTCTTTTTTTTTTTTTTAACTTAACCTTTTATTGCACTAAAAGATGAGTCCAAGTGACCCAATGAAATTTATCGGAGCAATATATATAACAAGCGAAATTTCATCATCGAATTGATTGAAGTTTTTAAAAACAATTGAATTAAATTTGCCACCCACTACAACAAGTATTCTTGAATGTTTGCATAAACTTTCCTCGGCCAACTTAGTTTTTATTAAAAGAGCAGACCGGAACTGATATATAAATTATTAATCCTATTATTTTTATATAATTAATATGAAGCTTCTCTACTGTATCTTTTTTTCTTTTTTTTTCCTTTTGTAATTAAAACATAAAATAGGCAAAGCATTGATAGAAATCTGTATTGAAAATGAAAGTATGTTAAAAATGATGTCACTCAAATCTCTACTACGCACGCACATGTTCACACGACTGTGTCTGAATTCAAATATCAAAATTTTCGATAAATTTTTGGCGCAGCATCACATTTAATCCAAAGGATAGAATCGTTAATCGAATTGCAAACTTCGACATTAATCAATCATTCAATGCCATGCGGCCAAGGTTGTGAAAGCAAACATCATTGCGTCCGATTTCTTAAAGCTGTAGGCCATCAATTATTACTGAAACATTGATTGGACCGCAACCGCTTCTCAAGATGCATTTTCAAAGAAATAAAAACCAATGATTCTATCATTCCGAAATCCATTCGCACCAACCACTAACATTTAGGCGTGGGATTTGACAAAACCCAAAAAGTATTTAATCGAAACGTGTTATTATCGAAAGCTAAATTTTTTTCGAAAGCATGCGAATATAACGGGATATGCCAGTATTCATTTGCTGAAGGATTGTATTGCTCTTAACAGTAATTGAACCGACTTTGCATGCAACGGTATAGCGTTAACATTACGGCGAGCAGCTCTAAAGAGCGTTAATCTTTCAATAAATTTAAACCACAGAGGATCATTTCTTAATGCTAATTTCGAATGGGCTTCGCATCTTTCGGTAATTTTCGCTTTACCTTTATTGATTGTACTAAAAAGTTCGACTTTTTCTTTACTAGCAATCGATGTCTCCTTTTAAGTATTTTTAAAGGGTCACGAATAAAACAACAATTTTTAGACAAAATTCGGTCCTAATCATTACCATAACAAAATCTTCTTAAAGACTAAAACATTAATTTCAATACTGCGCCGATTTTTCCGCGTCTTTTCTACATAGAACGATTTTTCGAAGCCTTCAAAATACGCTTCAGTGTCAGCCATCAGCTCTTGATTGAATACATATCTCTCTTTATTCCCTTTCAGGATAATCGATGAATATTATACCATAGGCATTCCAAAATACGGACGCGATAAACTTCCCAGAGTAATTGCAAAGAGAAAAGAACAAGTTTTGTCATTGATCTCTTTCGATATTGAAACGAAATTCTTGAGAAACGATTAAATCAAGTGTTGCCCCAGATTCGTCAACTGTGGACGACGTTTACACGGCAAACATATTGAGCGAAGTATCATGTGATCATGTGAGAATTTTTTCGAAACATAGAGTAATTCCTTAACTGAATTAAATCTTATTGTCATTGGATTAATCAAAGCGGTTCCGTACATTGCTCGATATCAAATTTAAAGGATTGAGTGATTGTTTTAATATTAGCGATAATGTTGAACGCATAAGTCTTTTCCAAGTCCCCCTCGCAGTTAATTGAGCTTTTTGGTTAAGTTTTGATTAAGTAAACAATAAGATATCATTTGTGGAATCCATTGAAACGTATGATGATCAGTAGAAATAATAAAGTAAAAGATGAGATTAGCACTTTTGCGATAAAATCGATTGATGTTAGCAACGCAACTGACAACAATTGCAGACCAAATTTTTACCTAAGCGATTAAGCGATTCTTTTTTTTGTAGACATATGTTATTGCGTAAAATGGTAAATAATTATTATTTATAAAAGTGGAAAAGCAACTCAGCTATTACACAAATAAAATTAATTGATGAATTAAACTATGGCTATTGGGCAAATATTAATATATTAATTGAGATTAAGCAGAAAGCATTCGCAGTGAAGTCTTTGGTTAACTAAGCAAAACATTTGACGTGAAATTGCTATTAACTCGAAAAGCATTGTCATCATCAACGATAAATATATTCATCTAATATACTCTCATTTCGCATAACTGCGACTTTATATATGAAGTAAAAAGCTTTGCGTTAAATAGGTGAAGAAATAAGTTCTCTATACTGAAATTGATTGCTTTATAAAACGCACATGGCCCCTGAATTGTTTGATATTGATGCGGTGTAAGCGGTGTACGGCACAGAATGTTAAACTGCCGAAAACACGGCTGAAGCGATGGAAATGCTTAAATTA